CCCCGGGGACTGCCTATAGCAGTCAAAGCATGATTTAACAGGTTGAATGCAGAACAAGGCACAGGCAAAGATGACACTCCTTAAACATTTTCTTTTCAAATCGCCTGCTGTATCAAACCCACGCAATGAATTTCTTTGATCTAAGAGCTCAATATGGCTTCGCGGTAACGATTTCCAAAATGAATGGGAACAATAAGGGCTAAAAAGAAAAGGAAGCACACCTCTTTAAGCACCTCATAAAATTCTGTGCAATCCAATGTTCAAATCAGAAGATATAGAAATGAGGAGCGGGAGAGTGTGGTGCCAAACAGCTTTGAAGACTCGCTTATGATGAGCTCGAATGGACTGGGAAGGTTTGTGAGAATTGTACCGTATATCAAATATGTGAATGTCAGGATCAACAGAGCCAGATGAAATGTACAAACCATCAGGTGACCAAGCCTGATTTATAAGAGCCGAATGCGAGTCACTGCTTTCTTGTTTCCACCCAAAGGAATGAATCTCGGCTTGCCTCGATCTAAAATCAAACAAGCGAAGCTGTTTCTCTAAGGTCCTGCATGTGAAGATGCAGTCATTGGATCAGAAAAAGCACAACAAAAATATATCAGCCTAATTAACATATTCCTGCTTCAATCGTATCTACTTTAAGATAATAATTCAAATCAGACTTGTGACATCATAAGAAAATAGTTCAAGATATAAAACAGGCTTTACACTGCAACAACTAAGCGTCAACCCCAAACTACTAGAGGTTGGCTATGTGAATCCTCAATATCCTTCACTCATTTTGGATCCATTTTATTCCATAACTTAAAACTTTTAAGAGAAATTAGGGGCTTCCTATAATTTTAATATAAGAGGTTCTCTACATTTTCTACTAACATACCAATAAGAACAAACAAAAAATTCTTGCCAAACACCTAACCGAACGTAAGTGTACCAGTAAAAATAAACCCTAATCCCAACTAGTCGGTATCGCTTCTTTGGATCTTTCACTTTCATCATTTTTATCCTTGGCAAAATTTGCATGGAGTCTAAGAGACTGTAGCTTTTTCCTGACAACACTACTCCACGTTGTAAGTCTAGGTCATCACCTTTTATGACCTCTAATCATCATAGTGTCACATGGACTAGTGTATTTGAAAGTTGATATAGCCAAAATCAATTTCAAGGGACCTTCACTTATTTTATCCTCCATGTGTGCTATTTGTACCTTCTATCAAATGTGGTAAATTGTGATCTTGTCAAATTTCGAATGACTCTCCATTTTAAAATCTGTATTTTCGGAACACTCATTTTGTGAATATGTTGGGTCATTAGAGGTCCAACACTCCTTCAGATATAAACATTACTTGTCTCACAACCGCTCTATAAAACTCGCCTTTAAGGCTTTCACTCTAGTAGTTATCTTCCAATTACATCAAGATCCTGTAGCACTCCTCCAATTTATCATATTTTAAGTATGGGTTAATATCTTCATCTAGCATGCTATTCTCCTGACACTGAGTCTGGATGTTGAATTGTTCACATTTAGGTACCACAATCATGTTAATAAAAGAAAATTATCAAAATACTTTTAGGAGGAATGACTTCATAGGATTCCAAAAACAAATTTTATGGATCCATATCAAATTCTAGATTCTACATTGTTCAAGTGGCTCCTCCTCCTCCTCCTCTTCTTCTTCTTCTTCTTCCTCAGTCACAGGTATAATAGTTCTTAAACATAATTAAAGCAGACCACATCATTTTCCGATGCATTACCAAAGAAAAACTGATATATTTATCATCTTAATCTAAATGTATCAAAAACAATATAGTAGGAATCCATTTTACTCAAACATTATTGCACATAGCACATTTTGACAAAGAAAGAAAGGGGGGAAAAGGGGAAAAATTACCAAAAAAATTACAACACATTGGGTGCTTTGGAGGAAAAGGGAATGGGAAATAGTAAGAAAAATTACTACTAATGTAAAAGAAATATTTACATAATGAAATATGCACATAATGGAAACAAAGAAACATGCACATAATGATCATAGAATGACCATAATGGTAACTTACCCTGTCTGAACCATAAAAAGATTCAAGTCATGTGGATTAGGCAGGACACTCATGCATTTGCTTTCTAGTTGATGCTTGTATTCTATCCTCTGAGCTGGTAAATCAAATCCTAATATACGTTTATCGGCACCAGCAGACATCACAACTTTCTTATGCTGCAAACCAGCAACTCCCATTACAGCAGAAGAATGCCCTCTAGGCAACACTTTAGGCTTCCATGAATTTTCTCCATCTTTATTGGTCCACAAGACAACTGCATGATCATTACCACCAGTAACAAAACAGTCCTCTTCCCATGGCATGAACATTATGCTGTTAATGATCCCTTTGACATGAGGCTTCTCCTCCAAGAAATTTACTCGCGTAATCTGTTAATATACCAGGATATGAGATCAGAGCAGAGAAGAGAGTCCTTTGACACAATAGAGTATGCAAGACATACTATCAAGTGCTACATAACCAAGCGCCAATAGAAAGTACGTTGATTGTGATAATAACAGAGACAAGAATAACAATGCACCTATAAATCATAGACTTTAGTTTAGGCTGGAGGAGCAGCATGTGAATATCAGGTTAACCTGGTGGGTTTCCATGGGTTTTTTTATCTTCCGTGGAGGGAGGAGACTTCAGAGTTTTCTATGTACTAGAATATTTGACAGAAGATATGTTACATCCCTTTTGGAGGTTTGCTCTATGACTACAGTCTAAAAATCAAACCATGTTGCTGCCTCTGACTTTTTAAACAATGTTTTAAAGCAAAATCATGAGAGAGAGAAAGGCATAGATCCCTGAACCTTATACTCCACAGTTTTTTCCTAAAATTTAAACCGTGATTTACCCCGTATTCCTGCTATAAACCTCGTCCATCATAAGGCCAAACATGTCAGCCTAAAAATCAAACAATGCACGCATGCTTTTTCAGTCATGCAGATTTTACAGTGAAATGATCTTTGTCATATAATTTCATCAAGAAAATTCCTAAAAATACCTCTTTTCCCTTGTTAAGTTTCAAGATTGAAATTTGTGAATCCCCACCATCAGCGCTGTACACAGAAAAGAGACTAGTGCCTTTCGGATGCCACGCTACATCTTCTGGCCATCTTCTACACTCGCGCGAAAGGCAATCAGTGCTACTGAGAAGATTGGCACTTGACCTAATTACCAAAGTGACAGACCATCAAAATACAAGCATTTGGTGATGCAAGCGGAAAACAATTGACATTTAAAGTTATTGCCTATAAAGTGGGTCCTGCAAAGGAAAATGATACAGATGCAGCTCTGGAATTTGAATGCTAAAGTTTTGACATACCCCCTGTCCTGCACCTGCCACAAGTTGACAACCCCATCCAGTGCACTGCATATTAAGCAACTCTGTGTTAGCTTTTCTAAACAAACAGAAAGAGTTCAAGAAAGATTTGTTTCATTCAATGCTGAAATGTTGAAAATTGTATGAGAAAGACTGAGAAACATGAGTAACAGGCCGTTCTCAAGAGAAGCAAGTACAGTGCAGCGTTAAATCGAGGAAACCAGTGTTTTTTAAAAGCGAAAAGCGGAGAAAAGCAGCATGGTCCATGAGGCTTGTTGAAGCAAAAAGCGAGAAGTGACGTTGCACGCTTCTTTGAAGTTAAGCATTAAAAAATACCAAACACAAATGAATTTAGTACCATAATGATCAAGTTGCAATTTGAAATAACCAATTTTAGTATCCTATATACAATAATGTCGATATTAATCCAACTCCTCCAAGTTGAGATTCAAAAAACCGACCGCTTCCCATCCGGATTATTTTAAGTGTCATTGTTTGAAGTACATATTCAATGAAGCACGTGGTTTCACCCATGAAGCGATAGCTCTTCGCTTCATCACTTTAAGCGAAAAAGTGATGGCTTTTAATAACACTGAAGGAAACAACTTATCAAATCATTACTTAGGCAAATTAAACTTATTATCATCTAATATGACCAATTGCAGTGTGCAATTTAGGAACTCGAATTTTGCTCGGGTACGGACATCTTCAGATTGGCCACAAGATCCAAACATGTGACATTAGTGTAGGATCTCTTAACTAGATTAAATCATAACATACATGATGAAGTTGGTAGAGCCATGACATACATGACTAACTGTAGAAGGGAAAGGGACAAGCACCTTCTACAGTTAGTCCACCCGTAATTCATTTATAAATATAGAAGCAATGAATGAAATACATCCACAATCACAATTGTCATTCACACAGAGCGCATATCTACCTGCTCGCAAAAAGTTGATCATTCGTAGGGCACAAGACAATAGTTCTAATCTTTCGCTTGTGTTGACTAGGTATGAAATTGCACGTCTGGCAATGGATCTCACTTGCTGTAGCGGACCTACCTATCAATGGAATCAACTCTTTACACTCATTCTGTTCTATACTCGCAAAAAGAAGATGAGAAACAAGGTCGTCAAATGGTAATTTTCATATGAAAAAAGCATTTGCATATTCTGTCAGAGTGCATGTTAGCACATACTAGTATTGAAAGATCAAAGGTAACGAATTAAGTATTACCAAACTTCCTTTTTGTTCCTTTAGGTTGAATCTCAGCAGCCACAATGTCAGGAGGGGTTTCCACAATCGTATCTGCTTTTGACCTTGCAATGCGAGTGTTACGAAAATTAAAACCTGACCCTCCAGCACAAGAATCAGATCCACATAGGGCGGAACTAGGTTCTACCATCTTCAAAGGCTGAGAAACCTTTGGTCTCACGTCAGGAATGATAAGTAGTGGCTTTGCCGTGGGCGGCTTCGCGGAATTATCATTGTTTTTCTGAAAAGGGCTTGCTATTTTTCTATCAACTGCTGAAGATTTCCTAGCTGTGATGATCTCTTTGTCAGGAGAATCATCATTTATCTGAATAAGACTGATGGATCTTATTTTAGCTTTCACCGGATTCAAATCATTCCCATGAGAGCTAGTGGATGTTGCCACATTGACCCGACCCCGGAGGCTAGCAAGTTTCTGTTGTGACTCCTCTAAATTCCTCTCTGCTTGATCAAGCTGTAAATCTCATTCCAAAGAAGGGGAAAATGGAAAATAGTAGTTATGGTCCCAAAGTAAGAGAAAGACCCCGACATAAAATGAGCATTATTTCAATTACATATTAAATTAGATAATAAATCATCCGCCAGGTAATAGCCAACATTCAACAGCCATCCCTTTGTGAGTAAAATGATTGCAGGGTAAGTTCAGAGGTGTTTATGAAACTTGATAGATACACAATCATCCCTATGGAATTTAATAGATATATACTTTTTAAGACAAAGAGATTCTGTTACACTACACTAAGTTTAACTCATAGCTGGATCTGTTGCCACATGCAAAGATTTGAAGCTTAACACTCATAAAATCGGACATTCAAGTATCCTCCTTTTGCCAAGGAATCAGAAATATCTGGAGTAACCTTAGCATATAGAAAACTTGCAAATTTCAAGAATGGGAAGAAAGACATACAATTGGCATTCATGTATAAAGCTTCTGCACAAGCATTAGAAACGTAAACAGCTGAACAGCCAGCTCATATTCCAATTGAAGACCCCGGAATGTCATAATTTGAATAAAAATCGCATTAACCCACATGACAATATCTCCATGTCATCTATTTGAACAATGAGAAGACCATTACAGAATCATCAAGGGAAACTCTTGCAACCACTGGATGTGATCTCAATTGAACTCAAAATCCTTGTGGTCTGGGAGAAAGGAGAAAGTATAGTAGAGTGTTTAGGTTCCTCAAGGCACCTATCTTCACTAGACCACTTGTTATTGAGAGAGAGACAATGAACTACAAACATGTAATTAATCCCAAAAAGGAAAAGAAGGAAAGAAAACGTAAAAGATATGGTAATTAGCTTTTTTCTGACTATATTGGTCCTTGACAGAAGTGATCTGACTTTGGTCGATCCAGATATAGCCGCATTGCATAGATGTCACTAAGATTGATGGTAAGACTTGCAAGTCTATCGAAGCTATGCTACTTATTGATTATCAAAAGATGAACATCCCCCCCCCCCCCGGGCCCTCCAATTTGGGGCTACGCATACACCCTAAGATAAGACGGTTCCCGCCCTCAAGTCGAGAATAGAGCTAACGGCATAAAAAAATAATTACTAGTCTGAATCCTGATCTAGTTCACTCTTTAAAGAAGTAGTTCTTCTTCCAATTTCATACATCAAATTGTATATATAAAGAAAGAAGATCAAGTCAGGAGGCCCTTCAACAGAGGCTTCAGTCATCCTTAGAATCTTGGAGCAGCCCAAATGACATGATACTTATTTCAAAGTGGTTCAAGTAGTTCAGTGGACTAAAAATCCTGGTTCGAATCCACATCTACTTCACAACTCTTAATAGTCCATACCAGCAACTTGTGTCATTCCTGCTGAAGCATATATTTCATGGGGAGGGTCCTCTCCATTAAGACAACGATTTTATCAAAAATGTTTTTCTATGACTGGTGGTCTCCGACTATTTCTATGACTGGTGGTCTCCGACTATTCCATCTAATTCCTACTAGAACACGACTTAGTAAAATGGGAAGAAATCACCTGTTCAAGAATGTTTATAGTAGGGTAGACATCTTTTTTACATGTACGTACATATATACACGTGCGTGCACAAAACTGGAAAGCCCCTAAAATACATAGACATTGAAGTTAATTATTCTTAATAAAAGAATGAAGAAAAAAAAATTGAAGGCTTTCGGGACAACTCATTGATTTTCAATTTTGGAGATTCAAACCCACGAAGGAAGGTATCAATAGACTTGTGAGTAGATAGCTTTTTTTACATTTAGTAAATATTTATAAAGAATGTTAACCGCAAAACTCCTAGGGATCCACAGTGGTTTTCATTATTCAAACAAAAAAAGGGGGGGAAATTAAAGAACGTCCCGTACCAATCCCGGTCCCCTCCCAACAATAAAGGAAGTTGACAACTTTAAGACTCTACAATTTCAGCCATTAAAGTTTAAAAAGATATTTAATGAAAGCTTTGTAGGGTCCCAAAGAAGAGAACCTGAGAAGTGTAATAAGAGATGCGCTTGCGAAGATTTTCAACATCTTTAGTACGTTGTTCAATGAGAGACAACAGCACTTCTTCTTGCTCCCTTCTTATTTCCTCTGCTATGACCTTTGGTTCTTCTTCCACCATTTTTCTCCTCCCCAGTCTTGCACCGCTTTCCGCTTTCCACAAAATTCAAGTTTCGAGAATACCCGCTCTCTCTGTGTATTGGGGTAAAATCCTGTACTCTACCCAAATTAAGTAAATAACCACAGTTAACCGCTTAGTTAAGCATTTAAAGGTTTACTATAAATTATAGGGTAAGTTTTATATGTTTCTCTAATTTTTCGAACTTCATTGAATTTCGGTAATCCGTGAATGATATTAAAACTTCTATAATTCCATTATATGTTACTTTTATTCAATATTCTTTGAGAAATTAGAATTTGGTTATGTAATTATGGTCAATATTTTGGTTCGTGGAGTCCATCTCACATAAGCACAAGTCTATTTGTAAGTAGTCTTTGTTGGCAATATTCTTTGGGTCCCAAAAATATTGCATTATGTGGTGGATATCATTTACACAAGTTGTATCTTTTGTTTTACAATTAAGAGGCCAAGACTTTTGTTTATAAAAGGAAATGTCATTAGTTCATTTTAAACATACCAACAAGACCCGAGTATTCATTTCTTGTTTCTTCTCCTCCTTTAGTAATTGAGAGTATTTTATAAGAGAGTTGAGTGTTGGAAAATTGTGTGATACCCTTTCTTTGGAGTGATATTGTGAAGTTATTCTCTCGGGGGTATTTGGAATTAATTAGAGACTCTAATTATTGTACGCTCTTTTGTACTCATGTTGCTATAGTGAATTTGCCCCTCTCCGCTTGTGGACGTAGGTCACACTGACCGAACCACGTTAAATTGGTGTCTTCTTTATATGTTTTAATTATCGTTGTTAGCAACTTGCAATGTCTTTGTTATTGTCATTATAATATTGTTTGACTAAATTTTGCATTACCCAAATTTCCGATCCTAACAGGTTATGGACTTCTCTACAATATTCTACAGCTTTTCGTGTTTATACATTCCATCTATCCTAGGAGTATAGAATAGCTAATTTCCTTCTATCATAATATAACGTGTCAAGTTATATGACACTATTCGAATTTCAAGAGCCAACATAAATATTTTTGAAAAAAATTAAATAGAATTTATATAATTTGAACAACATATTTTAAGTCACAATAATTAACAATTTAAAATATATAAAAATACGTTCAAATAAAAAACTTATTTGTCTCTCCGAGTCCAAACCATACTAAATTGGAACATATGAAGGAATATTCTATTCTATTGCACAAATTAAGAGCGAGAGAGAGAACAAAGAAAACGAGCAAAGAAAACCTGCTGCCTTCCTCACACGCTGACTCCGGATATCCAAGAAAAAAGGATTTACTAACATTATAATAATCATTTGGAAACATTCCATTAAATTTAAGAACAATAAAAATAATTTAACATGCTTCCGTGTAAAATAACACGAGCATATGGTTAATATGGTCCATTAGAATCAGCAAGTGGAAATAAATTTGCCAAACCCACTTTTATCCGATGTGTAAAATGTCCCTTTTGCAGATAAAGGATTTGCAACTGTTCATTTAACTGTGGTTTTGAAGTTGAAGAGTTACCGCTTTGCCTTCGCGTAACATATGGTAAATGCTCCATATAACGTCTACAAAGTATAAATTCCTTACCGCTCCGTTACTTCTGGAAACAGCCCGTTTTACCTTAGATGGAAAATTTAAGAGGGAGTAAGTTGAAACATATATTTAAATTTCGTTAAATTCATTTACTTATGATATTCTTTTTCTTTATGTTAAACTTGATATCTGTAATTCTTTTACTTTGGGATTTTCAACTCATTTCTAACATATTATTGACGTACAAAATTAAAAGATCCTTTTTAAGAAATGTCGGGTAAAAATAGCCAAGAGAAAAAGTCTTTACACATCGTCGCCTGTGCATTTGAAATTTAACTGAATATGAGGAGAATTAATCTAACTAAGCACATTTTGGTTCAAGTTTACATAAGGGCCAGTACTGTTAAGCCCAAGTCGGCTACACACTAAGCACAGATTGAATTATCAATACATTAGGTCCAAGAGGCAATTTACACAAGAGCCCAAAAGCTTAAGATATGAATTGGGTAGGGGCCGCGCGAACGCAGGCCCCCTCTGCCACAAATTATGACGTAGGCTCGACCACTTGGGCCGACCTTAGGCGGGCGCCCTTCCAAAGTGCAATGGAAGTCACCAACCTAGGCCATGGGCCTTATTGATCGCCCATTGACCCCGTCCAGGTAAGTATGTTTGATGATGTTCCCTCATGTCATTTTATACTACTCTATCTCTTTGTCTCCCTTTGCCTCAGCCGATGTGGGATTATTAAATTTTCCCTTTTTTTTCCTGATGCCTGTAATTTTGTCCTTAGCTGAGTAGAGATACCCCCGTTTTCGTTGTCACGAACCATATGCGTTGATCGGCTCTTTTGTTTTTTAATTTACGAAACACTCTTCTAAATTTTATTTTAATCAAATTAATAGACATATTAAGCAGAATTGATATGTTTAGGACATGAATGATGTTTTCTTTATTTGTTTTTCACTTTTTTTCTATTACTCGATACTTATTCTAAGCTTATATCAACTGATCCTTTTGTGTAAACGACGTAAAAGAAAAAATGAGATAGTGCCAATAACAAAGAACATAGTATACTTGTATCTACTATCTACTATCTACTATCTACCTGTCTGATATGTCCAAAGCCAAAAGATAATTTTTACAAATGTTGTACCAATGAAAGAAAATGACCCTTCATGTATGAGTTTTCTTAAGATTATCTTGTCTTATACAATCAACCATCTCTATAACAGTCTCCTTTGTTTCGATAATTTTTTGCTATCTTGTTTCGATATTTTTTGACTTTTATAGCGAATGGTTGTTATACACCTATAACATCATTTGACGTTTAAATATTTTTTAGTTGTTATAGATAAAAATTATCTAAAAATTAATTATTTTTCTTTTTTAATGTTATATATAAAATTTAAGAAAATTATTCAAATTTAAAATCTCAAAAGATATACATATTTCATTAGTTAAATATTGAAGAAAACTAATACATTATTAATAAATTCATAACTAAACGTATAAAGATTTAAACTCTAAGGCAGACATTTTAAAGCTGCCTAGAAAAATAAATTATTTCAAGATTGATAAAAGAACAATCTAATAGCTTCCCTTTAAGACAATCTAAGAGTTTAACAGTTAAATTTTCTATTTAAATATTTTTTAAAATTTGTCCAATGGAAAAGATATCTTGTGCAAATTTTTAAATCTTATATCTTATGCAAGATAGAAACTTTGTTTAATGAAAACGATTGTGTACATATTTTTAAAATTATTATTAATAATCTTAATGATTCTATATGGCTGTTATAGAAGGGTAATTTTATAAAGAGCGTTTTGCTATAAATATGGATGTTGATGTTATAGGTAAAAAGCCGTTATAGAGAGGTAAAATATAACTTAAAAAATCAGTTCCGAGAAAAACTTGACTTTTATAGTGAATAGCTATTATATAAGGATATTGTTATAGAGAGGTCTCACTGTAATTTCATATCACTTGTCCCAACCAACATTTGAACTTTATTATCAATCTTAAATACTTAAATTTCATTAAAATGCTATACAATATGCTATTATTATTATTATTATTATTACTATTTTAATTTTTTCAGAAATTAACTTCTTTTTCCCAAAAGAACTTCTCCAAAAATATTTTCGCGGAAAACATTTTTGAGACAATCACACTTTATTTGATAAACTTCATTATTTAGTGGCAGCAGTCAATAGACAATAGCTGGTCAGGAACAGTTACTAGGAAATTTTAGTCACCCACGGCAGAAGGTCAATATACCTTTTAATAGATGCCTTAAATGGTTCGGCCATAAATAGAGGACCAGTATATGGTCGATTAAGGATTACAATCCCCTTCTCAGAAATGGCAACCTCTTGAATAAGAGAATCAAGCAAGGCTGTAAGTTTTGAGGTGATACTTGTCTGAGACAAGTCACAACACATTCATCCAGCAAAGGGCACTAACAATTAGGGTAACAACAGATATACTTTAACAAATCTGTCCAATTAAGGGGTACCATCTCTTAAAAAATCCTATGCTTGAACAAGAAAGCCTTTAAAATCCAATCCCCAAAGAAGGAATTCTGGCCTTTGTTTGGAAGTCAATTAACAATCCTTCAATCAACTTGGTAAATCTCTTCCACAATGTATAGAGACCCAATTGTGAAGCCATAATAGGCCACACTCAAGTTTCCATCAATAGACTATCTGCGGATCTTTTTATACTGTTAACTCACCCCAATTGACCTCTGAAAACAGAAATCAAAGACATTAGGCTCAACAGAGATGATTGAGAACACCACATCTTTAGCTGACTTGGTTGATGGACAGCAAAAACCAACTGAAGGCACAGATGACATAAGTAAAACACCAAGACACTCGCGATGGACCAGACAAGAAACACTTGTTCTCATAGAAGGAAAAAAGATTGCAGAGGAAAGAACTCATAGGGGGCGTAAATCCAGTTCTGTGTTCGGTTCTGACAAGCCGGAACCTAAATGGAATTCAGTCTCCTCTTACTGCAGACAACATGGAGCAAACAGAGGACCTGTTCAATGTAGAAAACGATGGAGCAACATGATCAGTGACTTCAGGAAAATTAAGGCATGGGAGTCACAAGCAAATGGAAGCAGCGACTCTTATTGGATTATGAGTAATGATCTAAGGCGAGAGAAAAAGCTACCAGGTTTTTTTGACAGAGAAGTCTATGATGTCATGGATGGGAAGGAATTCACAGCAGAAGCATATCAACTAGCTCTGGTAACCATAACTACAGATGATAAAGTTGATTATGGGATTGAAACAGCAGAAGAAGAGGAAGAGAAAGAGGAAGAGGAAAACGAGCAGGAGAACACAGAGGCTGAAGCAGTTTCTCATACAGACGGATATATCATGGCAGATGATGTTCTGTTTCCAGCCATGGAGGATATTGGAAGCAACCCACTGAAGGAAGGGATTGCCAAAGATAAGAAAGCTAAGTCCATTCCCTCTCCCACGCCTATATCAGGTAAATTAAAGTGTCCTTCAAAATGCTTTGCTCTCAACCAGAACTTGTTACTTTTTACATCAGAACCGATCTGAGATTGTTGGACGCAACTTTCATGATGACAATTGCCCTGTTATTATATCATGGTTAGCACAATTTTTTCGTAATTTAGCACAATTCTGGATTTATAATGTTGGAGGAACTATTTTATTCTGTAGAACTATATTTGTATCCTATTTATATTGTTGGAGGTACAAATTCTATCCTGGTGGCAAAAATATTTTCTTGACAACTACAATCCATCAGAAAGTAAGCCCTTCACAAGCATACAACTCTATGAATTTCCTACCAAACAAAGCATTATCAAAATTAACACATTTAATATGAGATTTGGTTCATACTACCACTGTCCATCCCATCTATAACCAACAATTCAAAGCTTGAAGCAGCCCCATCTTTCCTAGCACATACTTGCTATCACACAGACTTTTGTGCCAACTCTTTTTTCTTGCTTGGTTTGTAACAGCCAAAGCACATTTTGCAATTTCACAAATATTTTGTTAAAATTTAACCGTAACTCCAGTAAGCTAGACAGGATGAGTGGTACAAGTAAATGATCAGAAACTTAAATAAATAAATAAATAAAAATAGATGGATCATTTTTCAGATGACTCTAATTTAATAGCACATTTCAAAGTGCCACCATTCAACTTAAGTTATCCATAACAGCTTTAGTTAAATGCTATACCGTAAAGATTTTAACAGTAAAGTACATTCCTCTGTATTGCTCTCAGGTACAGCTGAAGGTGAACAGCCTGGATCAGATTTCTGGAAACGCTCCATGTTTAAGGACGGAGTGAAGAGAGGAAGACAATCACCAGATGGTTGTATTGCTACTAGTCTGGGATATAAACTGCTGAAAACTATGGAGCAAAACACCAATATGCTTCATGCACAACTTGATGCTCAAATCGACAACCGTCAACTGGACAGGGAGCAGCAGAAGGAACACACTGATAGCTTAATTGTTGCTCTTAACAAGGTTGCTGATGCACTAGCAAGAGTTGCTGATAAGATGTGATGGACAAAGACATAAGATAATGACAATTTAATAGTAGGTTTTGATTATTTATCGATTATCAAGGTTCTTGACAGTGATTATGAAAGTATGGTTTCTGGTTACTTGGTGATCTTCACAACCTATTGACAACCATAAGATCTCATTTACATCTGCCTTCAACTATGAATGATGGTCTCTTCTGTGATGAATTTAACTAGCATCAATCTATCTAAAAACATTGATGATAGTTGGACATAGGAAAGCAAACAGTTAGCAAGATAACTGAGAATTCACAGGTTCAACCTCATCTCCAAAATGGATTACTTGATAGTAAATTCTACTCCCTCTTCTCCAATTTTTTAGACATTATCTCCATCTTTAGCCTAAATGTTTAACACCATTCCACTAATAATATTATCTTACAGTGTACATGACTTTAAGAAATCAAATTCATTTAACTGTTCAATTCTCAACTTTGATGTAATGTGTTATCTCTTGAACTAATTTTTAAACAATTATTTTGTATTTTCTTTTACTGCCGCTAACTGTTCAAAATATTATCTTGATGTTTCTGATACACATGGAATGAAATATAGAAGCTTAAGAAAAGGAAGGAAAGGATTTCACAACAATCGAGCATTATTTGAGGAAAAATGTAGCAGAGCTGCTGGCAGAGAACCACAAAAGTTAAAAACGAGAATGAATGAACCAAAGCCACCAAATGATGACTAACATTTACATTTCATGATATATTAATAATATCAACAAAATTTTTCCAAGTCAGAAGCAGAATTTAGATACATTATAAACTATTATACAAGTTAGAAAATGGAGGAGTGAGATAACGCATCCATGATAAACACTCAACGAACTTCCTAATCTCTAACCAGCAGCAAAGAAACATGGCCAAACAAATGAGATCTCACTTGCCTTTCAATCCTAAGCAGGGACAGCCTCAATAAGCTTTGCAAAGTAAAATTGTGTGGCAATCAAGCCTCTCTTCCTTATCTTCCACCCAGCTTTTTGCAGTGCCCTCTCCACGTCAGCCTCTGCATGAAGATATGCTCGTGTAGCCTTTGAAGGTCCAGGGAACAACTCTCCGATTCTTTTTAACAAATCATAATAGAATGTCTTTGGGGCGAAGCTCAGGATCAAACGATTCTCAGCCAATGACGCAAGATGAGCAATCATACCATCAGCCTTACTTTGTGGGTAATGTATCATAACATCTAAGCAGACCACGGTGTCATACTTTCCATCCAAACTCTCCAAGTCCTTCACTTCAAATTTTGGCATTACTGGTGCCGGGGACTGGTCATCCTTATCCTTGAACAACTCCTCTTGCGCCTTCATATTAAGAAGTATTGTTCAGTTCTCAACTCCACAAATGCCATAATCCCAATATCAATGACACGTCTAAAACAAGTTTTTTTAAAAGACGAAACAAAGCTCCTCTTACAATCTAAGAGATACTCCAAAGTAAGGATAATAGAAAAGTTGCCACTAAAAAAAAAAGGAACAAGCTAAGAAACTGCATTTCCCACGCTCTAATTTAGTTTGTTTCAATTAATATATCTTACTTTCCTTTTTAGTTTGTTTCAAAAAGAATGTTACCTTCTATATTTAGTAACTTTTAATTCCAGCATCTCACATTGTATGCTTAAGACCACGAGATTCAAAGGTATTTTGGTACATTTACATATATCTTTAGTTTAACCACAAGATTCAAAAGTTTCCTTAAATTTGGTGCCTAGACAATTCTCTTGTTAATCCAATTTCCTTGTCCAGACAAACTAAGATATAAAATGAACTGGAGGATATATGTGTAAATATTGTCGGTAAAAACTAAAAAGTATTCGAAAAGGATCACCTGTTTTTGGGCTTCAGCGACCATCGAAGCTGAAATATCACTAGCTGATACAACAGCACCTTCTTTGGCTAAAGGAATGGATAAACAACCGGTCCCACAACCAGCGTCGCAGACAGTAACTCCCTGAAGAGAGCCCTCTTCAGTCAACATTTTCATCACATTCTCAACAGTTTTAGAGTGTCCCAGTCTTATATCCAACTGCACTTTGTTCACATCATCCGTGTCGCCATATATCTTCTTCCACCTCTGAAACCCATTGTTGTTGAAATACTCTCTCACCACCTCCTTGTCGCCGCCGCCGACCTCCTCCGCTTGCAGTTGCCGCCGGCGTTCGGGGTCGGCAAGCGAGAGGATAGCTGCAAGTGCTGCCACGGAACCACCGCCGAGTACGGCGAGAGTCGTTCCGTCCAACGGACCGGTGACCGCCGATATGTCGGTTGCAGTAGAGAGTGGCGGAATGGCGCAGACAGAGAAGTTCCGGCGGTTGGGTTTAGTGCATTTAGGATGAATTTGAGGGTTAGGGTTTAAGGCGAAGTTAACGGGAGAGAATAGTGGCGAAGAGAAAGCCATAATAAGAGGAGTGAGCTAAATTTTCCTCCTGCTGGGAAGGCGGAGGAAGCTGAGTCAAGAAGATGAAAGGCAGTTGACGATAGTGTGTAATCCGCGGGATAAGGATATGGTTCGTTGCCATTCCTTCGCGTTGGGTCCCACTGGCAGCGTATTCAACTTCTAAAACTAAAGTAATTATACTTGCACCTAAAGATTAATACAGTGAATGTTAGGATCGATAATTCGGGTAGTGCAGAATTTAATCAAATAACGGTATAATAACAATAACAAAAACAATGCAAGTTGATAATAACAGCAATTAAAGAAGATAAAGAAGACACAAATTTAACGTGGTTCGATCAAGGTGACCTACGTCCACAAGCGGAGAGGAACAATTTCACTATAGCAACAAGAGTACAAAATAGAGTACAAAATTAGAGTAAATATTTTAATTAATCCCAAACAACCTAAGAGAACAACCTCACAAGATCACTCCAAAGAAAAGGTTCACACAAATGTTTCTCAACACTCAACTCTCTTATAAAACCTCTATAATGAAAGAAATGAAAGGCAAGACATGTTTGTGTCAAACTTAGGTGTATTTGATATGGACATTTGCTAGCCTATTTATAAGTAAAATGGATGGTCATTGTATGGAATATTGATAAGTAGGGATTTTGACCGATTATTTACTCTCTTTTAACTGCAATTTAGCTCAAAAATGCTTAAAGGCATTCCCGAAAACTAATAAAATATGCTTACTTGCAGGAATATTGGGATATGATCCAAAGAAGTCAAAATCAACTTATAAAGGAGTCAAAAGAGAACAAGAACCAAAACAGGGCAAAAAGGCCAGCAGTGCGGCCGTAGAGAGGAGATTCAGAGAATAGTATTTGGGCAAGCTGAAGTAGTGTGGACCGCACCAAAATTGTGCGGCCGCAGAATATCAAGTGCGGTCACACTCACAATTATACGGTCCGCAGGAGTGAAGAATCAGAGAGTTGGATTCAAGTTCAAAGTCAAGGTGTGCGGACCGCATCATTTGTATGCGGTCGCACAATCAAAAGTGCGGTCGCACTCGTTTTTATGCGGACCGTAGAAGCCCCGAAGTTCCAAGCCCAAAATTCCAAAAATACGGACCGCACACTAATTGTACGGCCGCAGAAGCTCAATATACAGACCGCACCAGAATTATGCGGTCGCACAACCCCCGCAAGGGCAATTTTGTCAGATATTTTCAGTTTAGTATAAATAGAACTTTTTGTCATTTTTAGAAAGGTGACCTTGGAGAAGATCACCTGAGTCATTTTTCTTTGCTATTTTGAGGATTTTTGTACTAGATTAACATCTATATATTAGATTTTCTTTCCCTAAACAATTAATATGCATTCTATCTTAATTTCTTCTTTGATTTCTGTACTTTTCATGAGTAGCTAAATCTTTAGTTAGGGTTGTGACCCAACCCTAGTGTGGGTATTTGATGAGTGTTTAATTTAGGGTTTATTTTTTATTGGGTTAGTGATATTTAGCCTTGTTCATGATTGAACCCTAGAATCAATAGTTGCAAACATTGATTCATGCCTATTTGACTTAGCCTCTACTTGAGAAAGAGAGACTAAATCTAGAAAAACTTGGCTAACAAGAAACTGGGGTGAACTCAAGAAATTGATAGCCCCAATTAAAGGGTTAAACCTAGAGATAGTAATACCCGACTTGATCTAATATCACTTGTATTGTGCAAATATCCAATTGGACTTGAAAAGGCGAAATTGGGCAAAATCACTCAAACTACCGAGAGGTATAGAGTGAGTATCCGGATGTGATTGCTACATCACGACCCCAATTAATCAAATCTACACTGGAGTTTATAACCCATTAGATAACCACCTAGGTAGAATTCACGACCCTAGTCCCTTTTAATCATTTGAAAAACTCAAAACCAAAAATATTGTCCTTAGTTTTATACTTGCAAACAATAGAGTAAAGTAGAAGTAGAACACCAATCAAGTTTGTGAAAGTGTAATTGGATCCAAAACTTACAATTAACTTAGATATACAACTAATCCCATATTCTAACTCCCTGTAGATTCGATCCCGACCTTCGCTGGGTTTATTATTGCATCGACCACCTCACTACTTAATTATGATGTGGGTTTGGCCAAGATTAATTTTCCGCGCCGTTGCCGGGTAGTTAAACAGATTTAGCTATATATCTAGGTATTTGTGTGTTTTGTCTTTCTTTCTTCCAAGTCACTAATTTTGTTTGTGAATTTTATTTAGGTACAAAATGGCCCTTAACAACGAGCCCCTCAAAAATTTACCATTGAGGGAGGAGGTAGATGATGATCAAGTGGATGAGGTTCATCCCGAGCCTCAAGTAAACAGGCGAGGCCGACCGCCTAATGATAATGTCCTAAACCCTGCCCCACCTCCACCAAGAGCAGCGCATCAGGTGTTGCCGAATGAGGGCTATGCAAGTGCAATAGTCCCGCCCCGGATTAGGGCAGGCAACTTTCAAATAACCAACATGATGCTTACACTGCTTGAGCAGGGAGATTTCTTCATCGGAGCTCCACGCCAAAATGCCTACAAGCATCTCAAGGGTTTCGTCGATACTTGTTGGGGGAGCAAGCAAACAAATGTCTCTGAGGATGCACTGCGGTTAAGGCTATTTCCCTTTTCTCTACGGGGAAAGGCTTTGGACTGGTTAGAGAGATTGCCCAATCATTCCATCCACACTTGGGATGAGTTGGCCGAGAAGTTCATTGTCAAATTCTTCTCTCCGGGGCACATGGCTATACTAAGGGATGAAATTTTAGCTTTCAAACAAGAGCCCAATGAGCCATTGCATAAGATTTGGGAAAGACATCGTACCATGGTCAAAGAATTCCCGAACAATGATATGAACGAGGCCATGATTGACAGACCTTCTACATGGGGATCAACACAACGAATCAGTGTGTGGTAAATCAACTCGTTGAGGGTAACTTCATGAACACGCCTTACTCTGAAGCTTGTGAATCTTGGATGATATGGCGGACATATCTTCGGCATGGCAAAGTAGAGCCAATGTTCCTCAGGGTGACCCAAATGTTATTCACCTACACAAGGAGCTACATGATCACGGGCAAGCTATTGCGGAGTTGACAACCATCATGAACCAGTTGGCCAAGGCTCAGCTTCAATAGGTTCAAGGGCCGAAACAGGTGAATGTTATGGAAGGAGTGAACATGATAGTAAACAAGAGACGACAACGAGGTNTGAGGGAGGAGGTAGATGATGATCAAGTGGATGAGGTTCATCCCGAGCCTCAAGTAAACAGGCGAGGCCGACCGCCTAATGATAATGTCCTAAACCCTGCCCCACCTCCACCAAGAGCAGCGCATCAGGTGTTGCCGAATGAGGGCTATGCAAGTGCAATAGTCCCGCCCCGGATTAGGGCAGGCAACTTTCAAATAACCAACATGATGCTTACACTGCTTGAGCAGGGAGATTTCTTCATCGGAGCTCCACACCAAAATGCCTACAAGCATCTCAAGGGTTTCGTCGATACTTGTTGGGGGAGCAAGCAAACAAATGTCTCTGAGGATGCACTGCGGTTAAGGCTATTTCCCTTTTCTCTACGGGGAAAGGCTTTGGACTGGTTAGAGAGATTGCCCAATCATTCCATCCACACTTGGGATGAGTTGGCCGAGAAGTTCATTGTCAAATTCTTCTCTCCGGGGCACATGGCTATACTAAGGGATGAAATTTTAGCTTTCAAACAAGAGCCCAATGAGCCATTGCATAAGATTTGGGAAAGACATCGTACCATGGTCAAAGAATTCCCGAACAATGATATGAACGAGGCCATGATTGACAGACCTTCTACATGGGGATCAACACAACGAATCAGTGTGTGGTAAATCAACTCGTTGAGGGTAACTTCATGAACACGCCTTACTCTGAAGCTTGTGAATCTTGGATGATATGGCGGACATATCTTCGGCATGGCAAAGTAGAGCCAATGTTCCTCAGGGTGACCCAAATGTTATTCACCTACACAAGGAGCTACATGATCACGGGCAAGCTATTGCGGAGTTGACAACCATCATGAACCAGTTGGCCAAGGCTCAGCTTCAATAGGTTCAAGGGCCGAAACAGGTGAATGTTATGGAAGGAGTGAACATGATGGTAAACAAGAGACGACAACGAGGTCAACCGGTACAAAACTATCCGGAACAATTTGAGCAAAGTAATAGTGGGTATAATCTAGATGATTCATATGATGAGCAAGATGAAGAGGTTCAATATGTCAACAATTATCAAGGTCAAAAAAGCAATGCTCCAAATAAACAACAATGGAGATCACAAGGAAACCAAGAAAATTGGAACAACCAAGGCCACAAAGAAAATTGGAGTGGTGGCAACAACAATAATCAAAGCAATNCTGGTATTCCATGTTTGTAAATCAATGAGGCAGCCAAATAGCAATGAAGTGTGTTCGTTCGTGGATCTTGTGACCGAAGTAATTGTTGATGACACAAGTGTTGTGATAAATGTTGAAGATACCTTGGAAGATGTGTTGTTAAATCATGATGGGGATGAGGAGGAAGGCTTTTGTAGAATATGTCAATGCTTTGCAAGGAATGGGATCATATACTTATGAGCCCCGAAAACTTTCCTTGGATCTCGAAAAACGGAAGACTACACCAACAAAGCCCTCAATCGAGGAGCCTCCTACCTTAGAGTTAAAGCCTTTTGCCTTTACACCTCAGGTATGAGTTTCTAGGCCCTTGTTCCACTTTACCTATTATTCTTTTTCTAGGCCCTTGTTCCACTTTACCTATTATTCTTTCCTCATGCCTAGCTAAAGTGCAGGTAGATTCCACCCTTGCGGTGCTCCAACGGAGGAAGAAAGTAATAGGTTGGACATTGGCGGATATTCGGGGTATAAGCCCCGCCTTTTGCATGCACAAAATCATTTTGGAAGAGGATGCCAAACCCTCCGTGGAACATCAAACATGATTGAATGAAGCCATGCAAGAGGTAGTAAAGAAAGAGATCATCAAGTGGTTGGATGCCGGGGTTGTTTACCCCATTTTCGATAGTTCATGGACCTCACCGGTGC